GCATTCTTGTGATAATCCAAATTTCCTAAATAAACTTAACCAGTAAAGATAACATGTGGTTAGAAGGAATACAATACAAGTTCCTTATTTATAAGAATTTAATGCTTAGAAAGATTTAGAAAACTAATGCCTTAAGAAAAAATAGATGGTGGCTAGCAGGGAATCGAAGACGCGCGTTTCGTCATATTCGGGACTCATCAGCTAAATATACCTGCATCTCAGAGTTGATGTTCACTTCCGGACTCGAACCCAGTACCGTTCACCATTGCGTTATCCACTTAGCTACTGAGTTATAACTGCTTGTGCAATCGGGTGGAGTTTAAACTGACTTGGTGTTGTTCTACTTGTTATTTGGACCTAATTTTGTTTAGAAAATCTGAATTTCTTTGTTTTCGCGCCAAAAGCACTGTTTCCACCTTCATGTCATATTTCCCACTTGGGAAATATCTTAAATGCTATTGGTCCGTTGCGTTTTTTAGTATGTTATTTGGTAACTCTTTCCAAGGACGGTTTTGTGCTGTATATATACATTTTGATTTTTGTTTGTTGTTATCGCTCGTTTCTGACAGTTTACAGAATATACTTCGTCATTTCAAGCTTGAACTTCTTCCTCTAGTTAGCGAGGCTGGGACGCACAAGAATATCTAGCTTATTGGTTTTTGGTCACTAAGTCTTTGTTCCGTTCGCAGTCTAAGTAAACTAGTAACTGCTTCAAACCTAGCAATTGTATCTTCCGATTATTATTTAGGACTGCGATTGATCAGTCTCTTATTGGCATATATACATACTATGGCATATTACTTCAATATTGCCTTAATTCACAGGCATTTGAAAGCAAACAAAAAAAAATGGATAATAACTAACAATAGAATCCAAGAAGCTGATAATATCATAACAATCCATAGAAATACCAGCTTAGAAACTGATCAATTTCAGTTACTAACAACAACTAATCGAAAAATACAAACAAAAACATTATCGATTGAATTTAATCCATAAATGTATTTATAATCATTAATATCCAATGTATAATTTATATCATTAGTAGCTTAAATCAATATTATAACAGTAAAATGAAATCATATGATTAGTATAATAGAAGAAATCACTGATTACCGAATTAGAGTGACTTATTAATCTTCTTCTTTGATTTTTTTTTCGTTTTAATGCACAATTATTGATTGATTGGTGTTATAGAACAATGGAACCTTCTAGAATCCTTCAAATTGATGCATAATAATATTATAATTTCAATTTATCATTGTAGATAGATAATAAATTGAATAGAAAAGAAAATGGTTTTATCAGTAGAGGTGTATATAGAAAAACTTCTTCATCAAGCCAATACACACATTTTTTAAGTTTAGTACCTCATTATTATAAGAGAAACTTTGTCAGATGTCTGACAAATAGAGCTATTAAGATATGCTCCTTTGAGACAATTGATAAGGAATTAGAGAACATTTATGATATGTTGATTGAAATGGGATATCCACAGAGTTTCTTGAAGAAACACTTGCGTGTAACAAGCAAGAAGATAGCGACACTAACAGCTAATAAAAAACCTCTTTTCTTGAAGCTACAATTCAATGGTGATGTAGCTACTGATATATTACGTGATAGACTGACTAGAGCAGTCAAGAAAACGTTTAATGCTGCCAACCTCTGTCTATCGTATTCGACCCGATCTATGGTGATTCCCCAACTAAAGGATAAGTTACCTGGTTATGCCACTTATATGTGTATCTACGAATTCAGGTGCTCCTATGGAGAAAGCTATATTGGACGCACTACCATGCAACTGAACGAAAGAGTTAGTGAACACAGCTCGATTCTATCACACTTGATCGATAGCGGTCATATAGCCGACAGAAACAAGTCATTTAAATTTATTTATCGTATTCCCATTAGTTTTCCTATAGCAGAAGCTATAGGAATTCGAGCCAACAATACAAGTCTTTGTGTTCAGAAGAAATTTGTAACACCCTTATCTCTCGCTTGGCCTTAATAAATGAATTTACTTCTCTTAATTTATTATATTTTTTCTTCACCCCCTCCTACAATTTTATTTTCTCTCAAATATTCGTTTCACGGTCTAATTATCTGAACATCTCCTATTACTGGTTGAAATCATGAATCCATTGAAGCTAGACCACCATGGAAAACCTGGACGGCCGTCTCGTCCTAGTATGAGACTCCTCAGCAGTGCGCACCCACGATCCCGCTCCTCGCGAGATTCGAACCCAGGACCTATCAGTCTCCTATTACGTCATCTCATAATTTTTATAAATGTTATCTCACTATCTATATTTTTCTAATCATTGACCTATTTCCGATTATGTAACATTGATTTGTGCCTTTATTATTGCCTATCACAACTAGTACACCTGTCATCACACTATCAATTACGTAATCGTCTTATTCATCGTTATCATTGACTCACAAACTGCCTTGATTGGTTTAATTCATTTCGTATATGCATATATAAATACATTACTGTATATTAGAGTAAAGCTTGATGAGGATCTAATCGAAAACAATATTGTTCGCTTATATCAATGTTGTTCTAAATTGTTAGAATGCTCGGTTTTTTACTTCATCTAATATTATATAACGGTTGGGTTTTCAACGTTTACATGTATGGGACGTTAATTTATCTTAAATAATTATCTACACTAGATTCCTCTCCCAGTGTCGATTATTCTACAGAACTTCAACACAATTCAGATGATTAAGAACATGTGATTAATTAGCCTCATTAGAATGTAAATATATTTCCACACCAGATACAATCAGACAACAGTGAACAATCAATAATAAGTGAGTCGTAATAATAATAAGGAGTATATAAATCATCTGACAACTGTCAGACTACCTACATGTCTAACTAAGCAGACAATAAATCATTATCATTCTCGCTCACACTTCAAATACATAAATGTACAGTATATTGTTTTTGTAATGAAAATCAAATATATTAAAATATGCTTTAAGAGCCCCAAAGAGTCTGATCTAAGAACCGTAAATGCCCAGGTATGGTCAAGGATAGAGATAGTCTTCTGTTTATCGTAGTGCTCTCATATAGCCACGTGCATACAGCCATCAACAGGGAAGCTGTTATATCCTAGTGAAAATAGAATTACGAGTAACGTCTGAGACTTTTTAATGGACTAATATTATATATATTCATTCCTATTGTATAACCATTCAGTAACTAGATTGTGTAAATTTATATTCCTCTTATTATAAGCTTCCATTTGACCTATAATTTATTATTATAAGATTTATTGTTCTTATGTTATGTCCAGCTTATTGACTACTACCTACAACGTTCACAGCCACATTTTGGCTTTATTGTGTACGAATGTTATTCCCTATTTTATGGTGCGTTGAGGCCTATTCAGTTGATATATAAATCCAGTATATCTGAAATAAATGATTCGATTCGCATAGTAGAGGCTGTTATTGGCATTCTGGACGGGCTAGGCGAGCAACGGACCAATAGGACGCTAGGCTAATCAGACCGGTCGAACGTCATCGGTTTAGTACAGTATAAGGGTGAATAAGTCGTATTTTGGTCGACGAATAGACTACGTGATAACAAGCGGCTCATAAAGTCACAACAGAAGTTCTACTTACTACCTTCTCTCGGCGGTGGTGTTGTTTACAAAATTGAAAGGAGGAGAGAATATCTGGCTCTTAAATCGGGTTGACGTATATGAAAGATCCTTCTAGAGGAGTTGGAATATCAATGGTGCACATGTGCTCCATGATCCTGAGGGAATAAATAACGTATGAACCTATTTTTGGTTATCGGCTAACATGGGAATGCATTTCCTGACGATGCTCCACTGCCTTCTGGATCAGACCTTTAGGTCGAAGGTTCCGGGTGTGGCTCCCTAGTAAAACCACCTGCTCTTGTCTGAGGATCCAGGAAGTATCACAGCTCTTATACCAATCAAACGATGAACTATGGCGCATATATATTTTGTGACTCTTGGTACCAAAATTTAAATAAAACATCTATAATCTTTAGGCTAAAAATCATGTACAAGACCAAAACACATCATATAGAGTAAAACTCAACAATCAAATAACTAGGAGTCAGTAACAACGTAGAACTTCGTACGTACATACACCAGTTCGAGTTGCCATACCATAGCATAATTCACAAAATTATTATCAGTTGAAGTGACGGATAGATGGTACTATTGACAACTAATCACACTTCAATCAAATCATTTGTACTTCACAACTTTAATAAATCTTTATCTATATAGATTCATTTAATTATAAATAGTTCCTATCCAATTCATAGCTGAAAATGCTAAGTAGCACGAACTTAAAATTGATCATAGAAAGTGAAGATGCATCCATGATATATATATATATAGCAATAACTTTAACCAATGACTTATTATGGATAAATGTTAAACTGTTTTAAGAACTTACGTATCAAACTCATATTAAAGAACTTTTAATGTGAAAGAAAAGAGAAACAAACAAACAAACAAACATCGTTATTCAGAGAGAGGGGGAAACGAAAAAAAAAAACAGAACAGAATTAATCTGAAAGGTTAATTTTTCTTTTCTTTATTTTTTTTTTAAGTGGAAGCCTTTTTTTATTTTGTTTGAGTGTTTTCTTTTGTTTGGCAAAACAACAATAATAAAAATTAGCCGAAAGACTGAAACTACTTATGTATATCTACGTGTTAACAACAATAATAATAAGCATAATTACATAGTTAATTATGTAATAACCAACATGATATACAATGTAAATAACGTTATTTTATATTCAAATACCCCTTCTTTAGTTACAATATATATATATATATATATAGGGATCGAAATGATTTAGTCAATTATATAGACAAACAAACTTAAAAAATAGATAATTAGATGCCCAACTAACCACCAGGTAATAGCATAGGAAAAGAAATTGTACCAATGCTATTCATTATATATATATATATATATATATATATATATATATATATATATATATATATATATATATATATAGGGAAAGAGTTGAATACTAACAAGGCAAAACGATAATAGAACACAACAGGATAAAGTCAAGTGTGAACAACAAGCATTTCGACAATATACACAATAGATTGAATTAACAATACCGTCTCATTTGTCCAGATAATGAGAATAATAATAAATATACAATATATATATATATATATATATATATATATATATATATATATATATATATATATATAAGTGAATTGTATAACGGACTATTAATAAAGAGAAATATATAAGAAAGACAAACGATAATACAAAAAGAGAGAAAAAAACGAAAAAAAAATTTATTACAATTTGATATATAATCAATAAAAATGACAATATTTCACTGGATAAAGTGCATTCAACAAAAACGACGACAACAACAACAACAATAACAGCAACTAATCGTTCTTTATATGATCACTATCATCATGTAGAAAAAAAAAGAACCAGATAAAAATGAATGGAAGAATAGAACACGTATGTGTGTGTGTGTGTTTCATTGATTGATTGATGGATATTAGAATTATCTAGATAATCTTTTTGTTTTGTTTTGATCATAATCAAATTCTAAAAAAAAATCAATCTCTTCTTTTCTTTATTGTTGTTGTTGCTGTGGCTGTCGTTTTTTCCTTTTGTTAATCCCATTAAACTTGATTAAACATTCATTAAAAAAAAGAACAACTTAAATAGATACGTACCCATTTGTCAAAAAACAAATAATCAATTAGGATAATGAAATAATAACAATCAATAATCATTATTAAGATCTCAGTGTTATCAAGTTCTTCTTTTTAATTAATTATTTATTTATTGATGTAAAAGATAAACAATCAATAAATCTAAATAAGTAGTATGTAGGCGGTATTTGAAATAAATAAATAGTTGATGATAGTGCATAACAGGAATTGAAATGAATTTGTTTATTATAAGAAGGATAAGAAAACCATTATAAGACAAAAAAATATTATTGTTATTTAAATAAAACATTATTAGTTTTTTTCTAAATAAAACACCAACAACAAGAAAAAAAGAGAGAAAAACAAACATAGAAACATGAGATGATGATGATGGAATGAGCAATTCAAAGGAGGGTGGAGGGGTAATGCGTAACTAGCTATCTATCTATCTGCCTGTCTGTCTATTTAAGTAATTAAGTAGTAAATAATAGGTGTATACAATAATTAAATCATTTAATAATTTAATTATTTTTGTGATATTCTAAATATTGTCCATATATGAATTGAATAATAAATGATAAATTATACTTGAGTATATAGTAGGATAGTGTAATATCATAGTCTAATGAATTATACAAGCTGAAATAAATAATTTCAAGTATTACTAATTATTGGTATTAAAGTGCAATAATAACGACAACAGCACACATACATACATACACAAAAACAAACAAACAAACAGAATAAAAACACTAACTTATTGAACAGTGCAAAAACTCACCGGAACTAAGATAATTTATTTATACATGGTATATGAGGTTTAATAAGAGAGCATTATATGTAAAGAAGATCAACAAGATATTCTATTTGGATCAAAGTATCTTTTCGTTTGTTTGTTTTTTTCTTAAAAGTGAATGTATTGATATTTAATATTTTTTTTGGCATTTTGTAATTTATTATTATTAGTAGTAGTAGTACAGTAATCCTGGTGGGTGGCCCTGTGCTCCCCCCCTCCATGAGGGGTAATATGCGTTAGTTACTTCGTTAGTAAGTAATTAAACAGAATAGAAACTATAATGATAAGATTAAAATGTAGTCAAAAAAAAGAGAAAAGGAATTTGATTAAATTATATTATTGTTGTTGTTTTTTCTTTCTTATTTTGTAGATGAGTAATTTTATTAACTGCACATTCACTACTTATTTCAATGGCATATTTATTTTTTTTTAATTTATAATTTACTTCTCTATAGAATTGAATGTGTGATAATCATCAAATTGATGGATGGATGGATTGATTGATTGATTGAATTAAATACCTTTCTCTACTAATAAAGTAGGACGTATTTTTTGAAGGAAGCCCCAATCATTAATAGAAACAAATCCATAGGCGTACAATAATGTCAATCTAAAAAAGTAACGTAATAAATAAAAACTTTGTCAAAAAAAATACTAACAATAATAATGGGATTAAGGTAGATTAATAAAGTTCGCTTTACTTCTTAAAATCTATGTATGATGCTGGCTGAATGGTATAAGAGTGGGATTGAAAGAAGACGTGGAATCACTTCATGAAGTCACATAAAGTCGAACTGGGCAATAAAAGTAAGTTTATAATACGTGGCTGGAGTTCATGAGATTATTGCCGCCATAAATGGCTGAAGATGTTAGATAACATGACTCATAAGAGATTGTAATCATACAAATGCATTCCACTTTGTCTTTCATCAAACAGTATGTTTTAAAATCAACACTTACAACAAAAAAAACACAACTATAAATGTGGAATATGAATAGTTCATTTATAATTGATTGATCATTGGGTAGTGACCAATGCCATGTGTTTTAGTTCCTTCTTAATGCAAATCGAATCCCATCGACTACGTTGCAATGTGGCCACAAGTGTGGGTGACTCGACATCGCGTGCACTATGTTGATATATACAGTGGTAGTTGAAGGGAGTCGACAGGAAACTTTGTTGTATGTTTCGTGTTATTGGGCACCCGTCAGTAAGGTGTAACTGATATTTTAAAAAAATACATTGGAAAATAATTATTTTGTTGTGAAAATCTGATTTAATATTTTTCTATATCTCATCATTATTTTCTAAGTTGTTTGAGCTATCGAAAATACGTAAGAACCAGTTTTTAATGCATAAACTTACAAGATTAGTCTCTTTAAAATTAATATTGAAATCATGAGTCCATCTAAGCTAGATCACCATTGAAAACCTGGAAGCAGTGGAAGGTCTAGTACAGAACTCCTCAGCAGTAAGCACCCACAAATCCGCACACGGGACTGAGACCCAGGACCTTCGGTCTTTATTAGACCCTCGAAACTCAAAACACTTCATTAATTTCTTGTGAAGAAAATCAATCTCATCGAACTGTAGTGGTTACTGATTAGCTAGCACTTGCATACTCAATTCAGTACTTTTTGATAGTTTCGAGCTTCTGTCTCATCTTACTTTCGACGTTGAAAAAAAACACACAACTAAATGGTGATACTTATGAGATGCTGGAGAAGATTTGGATGATTCTATCTGAAGTTTGTGCTGATGATGTCGTTCAGAAGAACGATGAAAGCTCCACGACCAAACCATCCAGCTCAGAAAACAAAACTCCATCAAAAAGGTGATACTTATTCACATTTTAATGAGTGTAAACAGTGAAATATAAAATGAATATATATATATATATATATATATATATATATATATATATATATAGCCCCTAGAAAGAGAAGATACATAAATATGGTAGTCTTATAAGGTTACGTACATCTATATAAGTGGAACTACTTAATGAATTAAAATCACAGATAACTAGTACAGTTTTCTACTGTAATTTAATCTAGATTGTTTAATTACTGAGTTTAAGCTCACAGAAATTTCCATTTCTATATATAGTAGACATTTAATTGGGAATTCGTTTACGATTGTTCTGAATAAACAGAAGCCATCGTAGTTATATGAAACTGAGAATATTTATCCCTCTGATATATATAAATATATATACTAATCTTGAACCACTGTGAATCAGTAGTAACCCAATCTTTTAATCATCCCAAGCTTAATGATAATTTAGGTTAGATGTTAGGGAAAAGTAATAGTATTAACCCTATCCGGTTATTATTATTATTATTATTATTATTATTATTATTATTATTATTATTACTCTTGTTAATATGTAAGCAATAAATAATACTAATATTGTAACTTACTTAGGGCAGGCTTCAATCAACTTTTCAAGTACATCACTGGTTATTTCTCTACAATGGCTAATTCGTAAACATTTTAAGCATACTGCAGGAGCATTTGTTAGATGGAATAAACTGAAATTGTAAAGACAAAAAGTGAAATGATTCAGTTAACAACAACAATATATAAGATGAAACAAGTTAGAAAATAATGTTTTAATGACATATGGATAAGTATATCATACATACATAGAACAGTGTATGGAATTAACACTAATCCAATCTTTTCACTATAATAATATGATGTCTTCTTATTTGGTCAAGTACATGTTTTGAACTGTTCTTATGATTCACTGGTTGAAATCATGAGTCAATTGATTTTAACCAGTGAAACTTCTTAAATATCCACACAACCCTTTCTGATAGCATTCTTATAACTGTGAACAGATTTATTTTACTCGTTTGTGTACGATAGAACCCGTGAGAAAATAATGTCAAGATTATGCATACACTATAATAAGTTAATGGGGCTGTGGACCTTGGGTGATTGAGGTAACTTTAACACATTCAGCCACCAGAATTACTGATGTTGTATGCTACATAGTACGGAGAAATTAGAAAAGTGATAAAAAACAGACAGTCTGTTAGTGGAGCAACGTCACAAGATGCAGTCCCATGGACCCTGGAGCCCATGTGCATCATCGGTTTGGAATCAGGGTTTTCTAACTCCTCTCGGTAGATCCTCCATATCCACCAACCAGGTTAAAGCATCGGACATTCACTTTTCGTCCTCTCATCTTTGTAAACAAAACCCTCATCACGAGCAGGACATCCCTGTCAATGGTCGTATACGCGTGGTCATGTGAAAGCATTTCAAAAGGGAGAGTTGATTATCGCCACCCTCGGCCGTACCAGGGCATTTGAGATAGTAAGAATAATTTAGATGAGGTGAACATATTTTAGAAAATAACTTGCACTTTCTAGAATTCGATAATCTATTTGACTAACAATCAGGCATCAATCGATTTGGATAATTGGGACTTGGTAAAGAAGATCCATTAATTTAATTTCAGTATGTTGATTTTATCTGAACAGTTAGAATGAATTTTATTTTTATTATTTATTTTAACACATAGGTATTGGTACAAGGAGGCACCAAATACATATGCGCCACACGAATCTCAATCGATTTGAGTAAGGGCTGTGATACTGCTCGGGTGCCCAAACCGAAGCAGATGGTTTTCTTAGGGGGCCACACCCCGAGCCTTCGACCTGAACGTCTGAACCACAAGGCAATGGAGCATTGTAAGGAGATGCAGTCTCACGGTAGTCGGTGACCAACAATTGGTTCATACGCCATTTGTTCCTTCAGGATACTGGAGCCCATGTGCACCATTAGTTTGGGATCCGGTTAAAGCGCCGGACATTCGCTTTTCGTCCTCTCATTTTCGTAAACAACACCTGTGGCACGAGAAGGCAGTGAGTAGGACTTCCCTGGCAGAGGCTATATACACGTGGCCATGTGAGAGCATTTGGAGAGGGAGAGCGGAGTCTCTCCACTCTCGGCCGTACCAGGGCATTTGGGTATAAGACAGAGATATTCAAAAGAACAAGCAAAGCTTATTCTATTTCAGAAACTTGTCGAATATTTAAAACCATTAACATTTTTCACTTGGTTAAGAATCAAACCAGTTTTATTGATTAAAAACGATTGATTGATATAGTGGAGATTAACGTACAGTCCTAAATGAACGTTTTGCTTTATGATAGTATCGATTCAGAGAATCCAGTGTAATTAATGAGTTCAAATCTGACCTTATAAAAGAACATTAGAAAAACGACCCTATAAATCAATAAGATTGTTAATAATATCAAATCTATTCGTAAATCATTTTTCTTTGAAGACCCAATAGTTAAAATTCGTATGATTAGTTAAATTCAAGTTCAGTTACAGTTATTAAAGGATTTTGTTAAAAACAAAACCCCTTCCAGCATACTTATAGAAAACTGTTCCAGGATAACAAACTCAACTGTTATTTATTTTACCGGTAAAGAAAAGAAAACTTTTTCTAGTTCCTTGTTCTTTTAGTGACTTTGTGATATGGTGGGGAATAATGAAGCTCAACACTTAAACATTCATTCATCGAAGAGTAAGTGATCACTTCTAATTAATTAATCTTAGGTATTAAGAGCAGGCTCCGTATTCTAGGGGATAATTGATGCTACAATTGTTACAACTTAATTACTATTCATCTTGTCGGGTTAATGCACATTTAATCTATTATTTATTTATTTGAACACAAATATTGGTACAACAAAGGGGCACCAAATAGATATACACCACATAAATCATTCGATTTATGTGAGGGTTGGGATACTGCCTGGGTGCCCAAACCGAAGCATATTTAAATCACGGTCTGTAATTTATTATGATCAATTGCTGGCCAGTTATCCTTTTGATAACAGGTTTATATCAATAACCTGATCTCGTCAACAGTTGCTATTCAGTCACATATGGTATCAATGCTGAGAATCTATTAACTAGTATTTTATTATTTCATTTAACAATCTATACCTGTTTATCATTAGAAATTAGAGACCTCATAAATAACATGTTTGTACTCAATATTATTAGATAGAATAGGAATGCTTTAATTTTCTTCTGTTCACACTTAATCAACTTCACAATAGTAATAACGAAAAAAAAAAAGAAACTCCACATGAACTATAGAGGGGTTGCACAATTATCAACACATACGCACATATATATAAACCTTTGAATTCTATTGGAGAAACTAATAGTTGTACATAACCATGTAACAGTTTAAAGCCTATTTATATATTCATCAATCAATTATAAGAAGTTCTATATGAAAGTTGGTAAAATTTACCAACAACCTCAAAGATACACAAATGAATTAGAGATGCAAATCACAGATATCTCAATTATATCATACACCGGTTTCAGACAGGATTTTCATTCAAAACAAAATATAAACTGTAAAGGAATTCACTTACCCTTTTTGGGTAACAGAAGTACAACTGATATCAAGTTCTTCAAGTTGAGGACAACTAGTGGCTAAAACCTCCATAGTTAAATCACCAACAGCGGCTAGACCACACAGATCGAGTACACGCAAACGAGGTAAACGGCGTAACATTTGAGCAATCCCTGTTTCACGTTTCAAAGAATGCATATTAGCTAAAACAACTTCTTCTAGATGAGGACATTTGGCTGCTAACTGAGAAAGATTATTATCATCACTGAAAGTTTGTGTTCCTCGTAGATCGAGTGAAGAAAGATGAGGTAGCTGTAGAAGAAAAAGAAAGATAAAAGGAATTACCGCCTACTCTAAAGAATGAAGTTTAGTTTGCCATTAAACACTATTTGATTAAAGCAATTATAAAAAGACACTAAATGATTACAAATACACGGAAATTTGTTGGTGTTCAGTTTTCGAGTTTATTTTAACGCTCCTTCATCTAACTTAAAAGTTTTTATTTTTGTGTGTGCATAAGTGTGGTAACTTGAACTTTTTGACGTAGCCCATTAACCAAACAGAGATTCATGGATATGAGTTATTCATGGGCTTTTGTGTAAGTAATAGTGAAGCGTAAAGGTTGAAACTAAAGTAATCACAGAGGTAGTCAGTCATAAGTGACGTAGGACCTGCTACATACAAGTTGCCAGACCACATGAGTACAGCAAGACGAAAGGCAAAGTAGTAGTGGTAGAATAAGCGGCAGTAAAACAAGACAAACTCATGATGACGATTATTCTGAAAGACTGCAACTAACCTCCATATTGTGCATTTAGTGGTCTCAACATAGGTTTGAGGTATCTACGATCACATACTAATAACCTACGAATGTCTTCAATTTATAAAAGCCACATTTTACAGTCATTAACAAAATTAGGTCGAACTGCTGAATAGAATAATAATGCCTTGGTTGTTAGGTGGGAATCTCTTCTACGTGACAGATTGCAAAAGGCCAATCGAGTTTTCTTAATCCATGATGGGATTTTAGCTAATACCATGCCACCAGACCTTATGAAGCTTCTAAAGTAGATGGAGTGTGATTTGAATCTATGACTGAAGGATGGAAGAACGTGTTCTTTTTAATCACTAAGTCAATGACTTACTTGAAGTAATGTACTACTACTCATACTATTTTATGTACGTCTGTTTCATAGGACAATTGGATTATCCTTGAATTGGAAGGGACTGGGAATGTAACGTCTTCAAAGTTTCAAATAGTTTATCCCATAAACAGAGGTTGTTAGCAACTTACAGGTTACAAACATACTATTATGGATTGATTATAAAGTAAATACTACACAACTGAAATGAGCGACTAGGTTGTATGGATGAATTTCATCAAGCTTAATTGATCAGAAAAGTACTTCATGAGTTAGTATGATTAAATTTATCCTAAAACCTAATGGTTTTCAACGGAATCGATGTTGTTTAGAATCTAGTAAAAAAAAGTATGACTTATAAACTAAATAAATGAATTCTGGTTAAATTCTAAGTACCCTTTTGAATAAAAATGTTTAACTCAATAGAAATTTTGTAATAATATTATAGGCAAAATGCTATAAACTAAAGTCGTAATGTGATGATAGTGGCGTGTCAGAAGAGATAGATCTCTATGTATAGTAAAGCCAGATCGGCTTATGCTCTTTGGCTCAAACACCACGTTACTCTGGCTGTAAAAACTTGAATCTACAAAGCGGTGGTGAGAGTAGTTTGCCTTTATGCTTGTGAAATCCGACCTTCCCGAGCTAAGGATGTGAGGCGAATCTCTGTGGACTACTAACATTCATTGACAGCAATACGTTAGCAATACAGAGGTTCGGTAATGTGAGTTTGGGCACGGTGACGAGAATCCATTTGGTACCACTAACTTGAAATACTGACATCGGCGACATGGAAATATGCTATGAATGTCCTATCATAAACTTTCACATAGTGCATTATTTGTCGACACGGAGAGTAGTTGGAAAAAGCGGAGAGGTGATCAATTTATGATATGGTGTCGGGGTATGAACAAATGCTGTATAGGACTGGGATCTATCGGTTAATCAGGACTTCTTGATTGGATTCGACAGATAGCTCAATTCAATGGCTTGAAATTTTATCGGACTCAGAATAGAAGCCAGTGGTGATCCTACTGCAATTTCGTTTTACTCTCTTCATAAAAACGACAGGAACAGAATGGATCCTTTCTATTCGTGTTTTTTTTCACCGAACTGTTTTGCCTGTCATAAGGTAATGCCGTTCAGTTATTTCCTTTCAGAAGACAAAACGACATAGTAGACTCAATTTTGTGACAAAGGTTAATGACATGATCAGGTTGTGTAGAGGGTAAGTTGCAAAGTACATTAATGTGAGGGAAATGAGCGGTTCAAAACTGGGATTATTAATTATACAACAACGTTAAATATTTTGATTACTTTGCTGACAAGTTCTAATAAACCATCGGAAGATAAATGATGAAGATGTCCAAATGCCAGTGCTCTCAATTCTTGACATTGTCCCAATAAAGCCAATATACTTGAATTTAAACGAAAACATCCAAACAACTCTAAACGTTCCTTTTATAATAAAAAATAGCAAAAACAAAACAAAACAAAATTAACATTAATGACAAAACAAAATATCATATTTGCCATGCAAAACTAATTACTATGTAACATTATAGAAGACATAAAACGCATTAACAAATTGTAAGTTAAAATCTAAGGTGAAAGACAATCAGTTACTATATATCTTCGCTATCATAGGAGTCACGTGCAACTGAGTTTGGTCTTATTTAATTCGGTTAAGCCCTTTTCTTAACTTATTTAGCGGACAGTCATCCGTACTATAACAACTTATTTTACCTTTATTATTGTCGTGCTTGTATGAAATAGTATGCTTGAACATCGCTTATCGCCTACGCATATATTCATTCTGCTAGCTTTATTACTAGCTGCTAAATTGATCAATGATCCATTCATTTCCCAATATATATATATATATATATATATATATATATATATATATATATATATATATATGCCCCCAAATGCCCTGGTACGGCCGAGAGTGGGGGGAGTCCGCTCCCCCTCTCGAAATGCTCTCATATGGCCACGCGTATACAGCCCCTGCCAGGGAAGTCCTACTCACTGCCTTCTCGTGGCGGGGGTGTTGTTTACAAAAATGAGAGGACGAAAAGCGAATGTCCGGCGCTATAACCGGATCCCAAACCAATGGTGCACATGGGCTCCAGTATCCTGCGGGAACAAATGGCGTATGAAGCAATCGTTGGTCACCGGCTACCATGGGACTGCATCTCCTCACGATGCTCCACTGCCTTGTGGATCAGATCTTCAGTTCGAAGGCTCGGGGTGTGGCCCCCTAAAAAAACCACCTGCTTCGGTTTGGGCACCCGGGCAGTATCACAGCCCTCACACATCAAATGAGATCTGTGTGGCGCATATGTATTTGGTGCCTTCTTGTACCGATATTTATGTGTTAAAATAAATAAATAAATTATATATATATATATATATATATATATATATATATACATTTAATTCTATCCACTCTTGACTCGCTCACTCATTAGCCTCTCTGCTTTGTGGTCTGAATTATCTGCTAATAAAACTGTAGTCGCTGCTTCTCTTTTCCTTCTGATTTCAAACACCGTTGAGGACTAGATGATAACGGTTACGAGGGTGATTGGTCAACGAAGCACAGTCACTACACTATATAATAGCTGATAATTGATTCATGTAATCAAAGGCATACTTCACTATAAACTACGATTATCAAGTGGAACCCAACCAACAAGTTTACATTTTTCCACAGAGTTAAAGTTAACAATCAATAACTTGATGGACTAATAAGTATCTCGACAACCACATCAGCCTCCATATATTATTAATTTGTCATAAATGCTGACAGATAATTATACTAATCAGATGAATACAAAATAGTAACTAATTAGCTAAGAATACAATATTTAAACTAATTAAACAAAACACCAGTAATTGCAGTGACGCAGTCCTATTATGAGTTTTCATAGCAAAAACTAATTTATATCAGTTAGTTTTCAAAGGTACTCGAATTTATTGAAGGGAGCATGTGATCCTAACTGTACGTGGAACTTTGTCTTTGTTGGTGAAATATTTCATTCCCAGTTCAATAACAATTGTAATATACTATAACAGATGATTGTATATAGATACTGTAGAGACTCATGTCATAGTTGAAATTTAGAGTTCATATCGAACAACGAACATCCATAGAGATACTTTTGTACAAACAAACAACTTAAAAATGACGCAGATATGTAGTGATGATGGGACACTTTTGTACTATTAGAATCACTGAACTATATGACTTAAGACACCAACTAGTTAGAACTAATACATATGGTGATTGTAGTTAGAATATTAATCCGACACTGAAAAAGAAGTGCATAAAGTTATACTGTTCTTAACTCAGATGATGTGTCACATTATACTTGGTCCTATATGTCACATATTCTGGTTATCTTTTATTCTAAGTAATTGGATAGTTTGCCAATTTTATTTTATTTAAACACATAAACATTAGTACGAGGTGGCAACAAAATAGATATGCACCGCAATCTGTAATTCGATTTGTGTGAGGGCTAGAATATTACCCGAGTACTCAAACAGAAGTAGGTGGTTTTCTTAGGGGAGCCACGAAACAAGCTTTTGACCTAGAGGTTTCATCCACAAGGCAGTAGAACGTCAGGAGGTGAAGTTCTATGGTAGCTGGTGACGATGGTCACAAGTCTAACTGGTTGCAGTGAAACAACAATTGCATAAGCTTTTTAATTCATTCAATAGATCTAATTGGATTCGATAATAGAGTACAAGATCTTGTTTCAAAAATTTAGTTACAATTTATATATGAGACCCAGTGATACTAATTGGTTGTTTAGATTAAGATGTGTAAAGTGAGGTTTGAACGTAGAATCCAGTAGTTGAAAGTCGAATGTTTTGACCACCAAGTTGCTGTTCCATTACTTAATGCAATTCATTAACAAGGTGCAGGTTTTTACTATGCAGTTATTTCTACAAAAGAAAGGAAACCATAAAGCCGGTTAAGTCAAACTAAATGGGTTATGGTTTTCATCACCTGTATTCTCCAATAGCTAGATTAACAGATCCTCCTCTTATATTAATATTTTCATCTAATTATAGACTGATTTGTTAAAGATTGAATAAAAAACAAAATGAATTACTACTTTCTAAATAAATAAATCATTTACACAATTTTCCTACTGTTCTTATTTACTTACAAGAGTATTTTGATGATAATGAACCAATTGTTGTATAGCAGCATTACTTATCTGTTGGGCGCCATTCAATTTTACACTGATTAAATGCGTAGCAGATCTAGCTAGAGCAATCACAGTTTGATCACGTACTGATTGAGTATAACTTGCATTCACATGTTGTAAATTACGACAATGATCAGCAACTATTCTCAATGGTAGATCTTGATCAAATGGTCCTTTAGTACAACCGATTAATGATAGTTTTTGTAATCCTGGACCACAGACTAGAAACATACGTTTTAACCCTACAGAGGTGAAGAAAAGAAAGTATCACAAACACATCTTTGCATGTATGTAGAATAACATTTCAGTTACATAAAACTATACTTTTAAGAGAAATAAATAAATAAGACAGTAGAAATAATTACTTTATTTCCGAATCTACTATTAATAGAACCCCTAGTGATATCCAGACAATCTCAAGTCAAATCTCACACATATAACAAATCAAAGTCATATGTTAGGATATTATGAAGTACAAAGTCAAAATGATAAAACTATTATGTTAGATAGTGGAACTTTGAAAGTGTAGCAATCGGTTGACTGACCGACCCATTACGTTACAAATTGAAGAAGTTCAGTTGTTTTGCGCGGTGTCAAATTCTGATACCGATAAGCATATTTTTTATGCACGAGCTCAACTGAAGGAAGGTTTTATTGGCTAACCGAATCGAAAGATAACTGTACACTATATGTATATCCTTTAGGAGTTTAGGCCACTTACGAATGGGGTGTATCTTACTCCTTAGAAAAGGGAACCACATCTTAGACAATCGCATAGGCTTATGAATTGAACTGACATAGGTTTGATCGTATGATGATGTTAACGAGATATACATGCCTCTAACCCTAGTATATAATTCACGTCAGAGAATATATATAGATCGAATACGAGAATAAATTTTGAATACATATATTTTATACAGTTCCACAATATGAAGCTGGAACTTAAGGAACTACTACAACCATTATCAAAAAGTAAAAGTATTTACAAACAATTGTCTACATAAAATACTCAATGTTCGTTGTTCGGATATTATCAACAACAACCTACTGTAGCAGAGAACTAACCAGCTTCCAGTTGACGAGGAAATTAAGAAAAGACGCTGGGACATACGTTGAGAAAATCGTCAAACTGGATCATGAGGCAAAGCCTAACTTGGAATCTTGAAGGTAAAGGGAAAAGAAGAGGACCCGAAAATATATTGTATCGGGAAATGGAGGCAGATATCAGAGTAATTAATAAATATGTTCATTATGAAACGACGTGAAATCAAAGAATAATTAATAGGAAAAACTGAAAGTCAACATATTCATCGCCCACTAACCTGTAGCAGTTAGGCTATCACCACGACAATAAGTGAAACGTAATTCTTTTGGTTTAAGATTTCCAATTCTCACTAAATCTGCATCAGTCAAATGATGTTGTCGGTGAAGATGAATGACTCGCCATAATGAACGATCCATTGAAAGTCTGGACAAATGTCGACAAGTTTGAGCAACCCGTACACGATCTACTGGACTTAAATATCGTAGTACTTCAAGCCATAATTCATCGGGCAAGAGTAGCCAGTTTGATGTAATAAACTCATTTTTAGGTTCGCTAATTTTATTAGTATGAACATTTGTTGGAATCTCCTGAATAAAGGTTGACAAATAAAAGTTGTAATAAATTTACTTTACAAGTAAAATTGAACAATCTTCGACACAGGAAAAATCTATGCGGATTGTTCAGGCCATACTTCTGAATAAGTATTTTTAATGACAGATACAGATGTAATATATCTCTATTGACGGAATTAAATACATTTTGGAAGTTAAACAATAGAAGACTAATTATGTTTATCTAATTAAGTAGGTTGTGAGGATTTTTACTGTGATAAGATGGTTTCTGTTACGAATGACATCAGCAAGCGAACCAATGAAGTCACAGAATGTGGGTTCGAAAACTGATGGCAAAGTAAATATGCACTGTTGATGAGTCTCAATCTGTAATTAAACGATTATGCTAATGTTTGTAAAACTGACTTTATGTGAAGATTCGAGTGATATAATCACTGATAGGGCTCAAATAATTATGGTTTACTATTACCTAATAATACTACCTAGTTGGCTTAACTGTGAGGTCGTTTACAATTACGCTACCTATATATCCTAGGTGGTTATTCAATGTGGATAAATATTTATTTAAGAAAATAAAGTTGTAGAAAGATAACACAAGAAAGCATATCGCTAGACGTAAATAGACAAGAAACGTTTATCGAGATCTAAGACAATCTTTTTTTATCTCAATCATAAAATAATACCTCTTTCAGTATACTAGCGACTGGATTGTTTGTTGTTGTACCATCCATGCAAACACTAAGGCTCTTCGATATATAACGTCGGTTACGTCTTGGTGGATGATGACGATTTGACTTGGCATGTGTATCATTCCATTCTGAACGATTGTCTGGAGATGATCCAGTAGTGTTGTTCGATTTGACTTTTTGACTACATGACTTACTGTTTGGACACAGAAGAAGTGACTGTTGAGATTTGTCTAGTTGACTGTTTGGATTATTTGGTTTCCTGAAAGTAAGGACAAGATATTTGTGAGTATTACGGGTAGTTATAGATACTTAAATAGAGAGTCAATACAAAATTTGTTGATATTCAAGAAAAAACGATAGTGCATTAATTTTCATAATCGTCTAAGCAATTAACGTAAGGGTTGTGAATAAAATTATATAATCGGAACAAAGTGCAATCTGAACGGTCACCTACACATATACCAAACTAATTAGACTTGAGAATCCTTATATATCAAAGCTTTTCTTTTAAATTTTTGAGAAATCCTTATCCATCAACAGATCATCTGTACTTAGTGCACTAAGTCTAACTTCAACGTTACTCACTCGATGATTCCACTAAACATAAACAATGCTTCGGAGATATCTATAAACAAATACTAGTCACCTAAGTATGTTTCCTTATTTATTTATTTATTTTAACACATAGGTATTGGTACAAGGAGGCACCAAATACATATGCGCCACACGAATCGCAATTGATTTGTGTGAGGGCTGTGATACTGCCCGGGTGCCTAAACCGAAGCAGGAAGTATGTTTCCTACTTCTATTGGAATAACACGAAGAAAAAAAACTGGATTATTGTTTCTCAACAACACTACAACATATAGAAAGACTATTGATGACTAGCCACTTACAGTTATTTCTATATTCACTACTAATAAGACAAGATAAAACAAACAAAAGATGCACAGATTCTGGCCTATTCACATGATTGAATGAATGTGACTAAATGTAAGAATATAGTTTTGAGTTTATTAGAACTAGGAAATAAATGCGGATATTTAAAAATTGAATAATGTAGGCTATTTCAAAGAGAAATTTTTTTTATTAAAAAAAATTGGTTCAATATTGTTTACTATATAGAAATTTGTAACATTATAACTTACATATTTGTATTACATTCAAGTTGAACAGAAGCAACATTTCCTTGACTATAGGATGCTCTTAAATATGCAGCAGGTCTAAAATAAATAAGTCAAATAAATATGCTTTTAAAATTATTAATGTATAAGATTATTTATTATAATAAAATTTAATAAAGACATTAAAAGACCAAAGTCAAGGGATCATAAATTTGAAGTGTGAATATATATATATATATATATATATATATATATATATATATATATATATATACTTGGTAACGTCTATTTTGTATTTATTTGACCTTTTTAAATTTCTATATATAAAAAAAGATATTTGATCTAAAGGCTTGAAATACATATTACACAAATACGCTACGTTTTTCTTTTTGGATCGGCTTTCAATTTCTACGACACACGGAAATATAACTAGTATAATCGTGATCTTAATAAGTAATTTGTAGAACTGGATGAATATCGACCGTTAATTGTTTGTAATTCAATAAAATGGGTTTTTATAATTATGAAGAGACATTTCGTTCTTCCACCTATTTCATCTAATGTTCCTTGAATGTATGACAGATTATGGAATGCACTACACATCAACAAACGGGACTGGTAAATCTAACACTATAGGATACTCTAATTTTTATTGCACGTTACAACATTGATTGAGAAATGAGCTGTAAGTACTTAACCTAGTACAATGATCTTTTAAAGTTTTTATTTTATTTGAACACATAGATATTGGTACAAGGAGGCACCAAATATATATGCGCTACACAAATCTCATTTGATTTGTGCGAGGGCTATGATAGTGCCTGAGTGCCCAAACCGAAGCAAGTGGTTTTCTTAAGGGGCCACACTGGGAGCCTTCAACCTGAAGGACTAGTCCATAAGGCAGTGGAGCAACGTCAGGGAATGCAGTCTCATGATAGCTACTGACCAGTGATTGGTTCATATGCCATTTGTTCCCTCAGGATCCTGGGCCCCATATGCACCATTGGTTTGCAATAAATGTCTTTCAACTCCCCTCTGTTGATCCTCCGCGTCCACCAACCCAGTTTAACTGCCGGATATTCGCTTTTCATCCACTCAACTTCGTAAAGAACACCGACGCGAGAATACAGTGAGTAGGACTTCCCAGTGAACAAAAATCCTGATACATATGTGTATTAGTTTAATTTGCCATACCCTATAGACTAACATATAAGTAAACGATATTATTTTCGATTAGATCCTCATCAGGCTTTATTATAATCTAGAGTAATATTTATATGGATATATAAAAATATTAAAACAATCAATAAAGTTTATAAGTCAGTGATAACAACGAAATAGATCATTGTTTTATAATCGGAAGTAGGTCAACGACTTCGAAAAATAGACACTTAAATAAGATTCATTAAAAATTATTAAAATTGAGTAATAAGGAATCAAATAATTAGACAGAGAACAAACTTAAAAAATGAGTGAGAAGAAATAAACGAACGGTCTGGGCACCCAGGCAGTACGACAGCCCACACACAAATCAAGTGACTTGTGTAGCGCATATGTATTCAGTGTCCCTTGGTACTAATATTTATGTGTTCAAATAATAAATGATAAGTAAAATTATTTTCTAAATCTGATTCGGTCATGAAAGAGATAAATTACAAATTTCTTATGAATACGAACAAATCCCTACACTTTCTGATCAATGGAACACATGAGGTCGATAAACATAAGTAGGACGTATCCGATAAATGACTAAACGATTTATTTGTATCTACTATTAAATCGATATCCAATAAATTTGATAGAACGGAGCGCCGTATTGTTTCGGCCATATTCTTTCTCCAATATAGATTACTATGCAGCAACAGTTAAATTAGTAGATACACATAGATGTGGCATGCATAACCAGGTGACTTATAATTGAAGAACCACCATAGGTCGGCTAGAAAATGACAGATAGATATTAGGTGCGTAGAAAGTCCTTGTCACTTTAGTCAGTATATCTCGTAGTACATTACTAGTTATATCTCCCGAATGCCCTGGTACGGTCGAGGGTGGAGAGAGTTCGCCCTCCCTCTCGAAATGCTCTCACATGGCCACGTTTATACAGCCAGTGCCAGAAAAGTCCTACTCACTGTATTCTCGCGTCGGTGTTCTTTACGAAGTTGAGTGGATGAAAAGCGAATATCCGGCAGTTAAACTGGGTTGGTGGACGCGGAGGATCAACAGAGGGGAGTTGAAAGACATTTATTGCAAACCAATGGTGCATATGGGGCCTGAGGAAACAAATGGCATATGAACCAATTACTGGTCAGTAGCTATCATGAGACTGCATTCCCTGACGTTGCTCCACTGCCTTATGGACCAGACCTTTAGGTCGAAGGTTCCCAGTGTGGCCTCCTAAGAAAACCACCTACTTCGGTCTGGGCACCTCGGTAGTATCACAGCCCACACACAAATCAAGTGAATTGTGTGGCGCATATGTATTTGATGCCCCTTTGTACCGATAGTTTTTTTCCGTCACATGGAAACCTCAAGGCCAAAGGAAAAGAGGAAGACCAAAGAACACATCACGTCGAGAAATCGAGACAGACATCAGAAAAATGAACAGAACTGGAAAGGAAGGCCCAGGATAGAGTGGGTTCGGGAATCCTGGTCGGCGTCCTGTGCTCCATTGGGAGTAACAGGCGTAGGTAAGTAAGTTTGTACCGATATTTATGTGTTCAAATAAATAATTATATCCCCGAAACTTCGCTTCAAGAAAAGTGGTAACCTAACCAACCATCGATATTATTTCTTTCTGTTCACCATATGTATATATTCCTTCAGGAAACTTTGTGGGCTACCCATAAGGCCTTCAGTCAGTCAGTAATCATCAGAAGAGCCTGTCAGAGATGTGAGACGGTCAAAGTTGTCATAACACATGAGCACGATGGGATAGAAATAACAACGTAAATATTGAAAGAGGTCAAGTTAATTTCTGAAGTTCTAGCAATAAATTCTCATTTGCACTGAGACGGGCATTAAAACCAAATTAGAGTCCCAAATTAAGTCGTCATCAAGCTGTATCGCTGAGATATGACTAGAGGATAAAATGAGTGTTTTCATTAAATCTCAATTGTAATTTTATAATTACTGGGAATAATACGTAACTGACCACAACTAGTAAAAAAAAACATATTTTTAGTAGTGCACAAATTTGTACTTCTTAAAATCACATATCCTAAGGTACTGGTAAGCTTAACTGACTTAAGAACTCAAAAAACCACCAAAAATAACTTATCCATGTAGGCAAATAGCCAAACATTTATAACACTAAGAGTAAAAACATTAAAAAACCTATTTAAAGAGTGAAATACTTTACAATGAACTTGTATCTAAATTATGATTTGATCTGGAGGATAAGCTATTCTAATATTATAAAGATAATAACAAAATTATTGTGAATGTAAACATTAACTAATGTGATTTAACTTACTTCTTTTTTAATACTGCGGGATCATGTGCTGACCAGGCTATTCTAGATGACTGCCAATTAGGATTGGGTTGCAGTTTTGATGAATGAATACCACCGTTATTATTATCTTCAAAATCTGAACTAAAACTACGGGCACGACAGATAGCTGGATTTTGAATAGAAGTAAGATTATTAAGCTGAGTTCTGGAACATTCAGACGGGTGTTTACGACGACAATATCCACCACGTATGCGAACACCTTTGCGTGATGCTGAAGGACTTTTACTGGCTGAGGGAATCATTTCTTGGTATTGCCATGGCTGGTATAATGCTGACTTAGGAGGAATACCAGTGTTAGCTGAAACTGAGATTTGTGTTTCCCTCAAAAGGTCAGCTACAATTTGTGATGCTGAAGAATTATTCCACAAGTTATCTGAAAATGTATACTGGCCTTGGGAAGTGTTCATCAATAAATTGATTGGTGAAGTATTGGTAGTTATATGATAACTGGAAGGGACACTGTTAGTATGATATACATTTTCCAAGCTACTATGATCATTTGTTAATTTATTCTGCATGCCTTGACCAGATGTACGACGATGACGGTAATCAGAAACATCGGTAAATGGATGAGAGAACTGACTGCAACTTTTATTATCATTAAAGTGTTTAGAATTCCATAGTATGGATTGAGTGAAACCATTTTCTTTAGGATACAACAATTTAAAGTTGCAAGGATCATTGTATTCGTTATTTTTTACAACTTGATACTGTTTTTGGTCAGCGGAGACATTCTGAAAAATCCCAAAGTTTCTATATCTTGAAAATGAGGGGTCAACCGGTACACAAAAAGGAATGTTTGCTTTATGACATACTTGACCAAACTGCTTTGACGGTGAGAATGATGAATTGCTCCACTCTGAATGCTGTGTATTTAGATTTCTTGGTGAGAATGTCGACGCTAAACAAGACGGTAAAGAAAACGCTACATCTGTAGCGACGGGTAATAGTGGATGACGTGGATAAGCAACTAAATTGGGTGAGTGTGTAGCATTCTCACAAGACATATTGAAACTAATGGGTACACTTGAAGACATATTAGATAAAGGGTTACTCGAATCCATCAAATTAGTTTGTGTCTTTGGAACTTCACTTGAGATGAATTTTGGTTCAACTGGAGAACATAATTCCGCACCAATTAGTAGCTCTCCGCAGCTTGAGCACCAGTTGCTGTCTTCAGAATAAAAACTGTTGCACTTAGGACACATCAACGCTTTTCTACCAGACATGTGCTTCTGTGTAAAACCCTGTGAATCTTCCTTTACGTTTTGGAATTCATTCAGATATGCGCTTGATGTTAGACCACAGTTATTGGGATACAATCTAGGATAGTTCATCAGATTATCATTGACAGAGTCAAATGGGAGAATATTACAATCTGGATACAAAACTGACAAATTGCCATCCATTATGGGCAAATATAAAGAAGCATGGAGTGAAGTAAGTTGAGAGCATATATCTGAAAAACAAAACAACAGAACTTATTAAAAGATCAATATGAACATATTCTTGTTTATTCAATATACATTAAAGAGTAGGGGTTTTGACTGACAGCAAATCCATAAAAAAAAAAACAATTTAGCCTTAAAAGTCTGAATTCATTTTAATACGTCAAGTTGATAGATTTATGATAGAAGCTAAGTATACCTGAATTGTTATGAAATTAATATAATCTAATGATACCACCATGCAGCCCAAAAGTGAAACTATGTAGATTTGTATGATGAAGGCATATATGACGAGTCTAAAACTACTGCAGTGGTAGAGACCCCGTATTCATTTAAATTTTGAACATTACGTCCTTCTATTCACCGAACGTTTTTGTTTGTTTAGTTTTCCACTACTTCGCTGTTTACCATTTTAATGTCTCAACCTGCTAATGTGACAACTCAAACACATGCAAGCAGACGTAAAAGTATACATTGCCTTATATCAATTGGAAACAATCTACAGACTCAGAAAATAACTGTCCGGAACTTATGTTCCATTCTTGTCTAGCGAGTACTTTAGGTGATTAGTTAGTAATCAATGTTTAAGAAATATGTGGTAAAAGAAACTGAGATGATGAAGATTTGTAACTCAAGTGAATGATTTCTATTATCAAGGAAAAATTTAAATCGTGCCAGGAAATTCTTACGAATCAGTAGCAGTCTGAAAGTTAAAAATTGTTTAAATTGTGACTAATCAATATTTCCCTAAACCGAAAATCCCATCATCTTTGTCTCCAGAGGATCCTTGACATACTGTTGGAATTCGATGTAAGTAGTATCAGGATTTGACAATGTGTTCGAGCACAATGATGATAATTCAATTGGTGTCATCTTGAAACATCCTCTTCAATAACTTGGACATATTTTATGGCTATCATCTCGGCGACTTCAACATCGTGCTTTACTTGTCAACGCTGAGGTGTAAAAAAAGCGGTGATCAATTTATGGTTTGCCGCTGTTATGTGAAAGGAAGTTGTCTGAGACTAGGATTTACTGATCCATCATAAGTCTAAAATTGGCGTCCCAGAGAAAGTGAAATTCAATGGCTTGAGACACTATCACATATGACTCAGAATATACCACAGCGGTTGCAGTTTCCACACTCAAAAAAGTAAAAAACATCAATTAAATGGGATTTCAGTTGCATTTTTAGCTGAATTATGTCTCCTATTATTCATGTTTACAATATTCCTTCGTGTTCTCCCAAACTCTGATCTTCTGAATTCTTCATGTACTTAATTTTTTTTCCAAATTTATTCCACTGGATTATACTCCTTAAATAACATCATCAAACTCTAATGTTCCCTATTACTACTTATACTTTCACTACCTCGACCACTACGGGATTTGAATCGATAACTGAATCTCTGTGCTAATGTGGTATGGCAACTCGAACTGATGTACGTACGAAGTTTCACGTTTTTATCGACTGGCTGACTGAGAATTTCAGCACATTATTTCAGAGGCAAACATTTATTTCGGTGACCAGTTGTTTCAGCATAGAGTAAATCAATAAAATTCCAGGTGCAAACCTAGATTTTCGTTGGTTAGTAAATAGAATAAAAACTAAATGAACACAGGTTTTCCTAAATAAGCCGAAAAATAGCTATCACTTGTTCAATCACAAACTGTTTCAAACATCAATTTTTGGGATCGCTTTGCAATGTTGAAGTTTGTGGCCAAAGTTAGAGAGATTTATGGGATGACATATTAGAATAACCGAAGACCAAAACGTTTATAACCAATGATTCATACAACACGAGTTAAATTAACTAACTATCCAGGTACTTTGATATGAGCCACACTTCAAATATGAGGGCTAATGATAATATACGGTTACGCGAACCCAAGTAGGTGGGGCGAATCTCGAACCTGGGACAGAGGGGATGAGTCGGACGCTTTAAACACCAAGTCACCGCTATACAACTTGAATCAGTCATAGGCAACAGGGAACCTGACAAATTTGTGCATTAATTAAAGCTCTCAAGCCATATCAACACAGAGAGATTAAACTATCAAGATATACCAAAGTAGTAGCAGTGGCGGTAACGGTAGTAGGGAGGATAATGATTTGAAGAGGACGAACTAGTGGAAAATATCGAAAAAAATTTAAAACTCAGGTTTTAGAGGAAGACAATCAGTAATCTGTATTTACCCATAAACAATGACCGCGTATTGAAACGTACAAGTTAAAAACAATGGGTGGATTCCAGCAGCATCTACTGAATTGTTATATGTTCAGAAAATCATACCGTCTGGCTCCGAACACGACGGAGGGAGAGCGGAGCTTAAACATGAAATGTAAAAAAGTTTACATAATGACCTAAAGCAACGGTGAGCACGTGAAAAAAGCGACTAGAAAGTTGGCAACAGTAAACAAATGTCAGGATTAATAAATCAGTTACGACGTGAAGCCTGGTATGTATGTACACTGGCTTAAGATGACGCACTCCAATAGCACAATCGGATGAAACTGTCAGACCGAATCTCAAAATTATCAACGAAACGTAATATAAATTTGAGTTAGAGAAAACAGGAGACAACGACTCACAACCCAGTAAACCGAATCGATGGCCAGAACACCGATGTACTAAACCCCAAGATCTTTAGACGTGTTGATACAGTCCAAGCTGTTAAATTGACCGACACCTAAGCTAAAGTTTGGGAACTGGATGGAATTCTATTCGGCTGGTTTTGATCGTCGTAGTTTACAAGGAAGAAAATTGCCTAGTGATAACCATACAGGAAAAAGTATGACTAACAAATTTCAGAATATTTGCCTTATTGACCATCCACGCTAACATAGTGCTCGTGATGAGCAAACCCAGGAAAACCAGACTGGTCTCAGGCACAAACAGACGTACCTAACGAGATTCAACCACAGTCGTAACTATTAACCATGGGTTGGTGTTCGACCACGTAGATTACCAGGCCTTAATTCAGAGGCTGTAACTGAAAGACATAGTAGAGGAACATTAACCTTGTGCATCTTTCCTACTCGAACACTGCTAATTACGTCAAGGCTTATAAAGAACACCCGTTGAGGTTGATAGCCTCAAGTATATCAAGGCTGTGCGTTTTTTTTAATTTCTGTCATAATACAGTATTTACTCACCTTAAATATATTTTACGTTAGACAGCTAGTTTGACAACAGTGATCGCCCATTTCAAAACATACTATACACAAACAAAATACTTATTTTGCTTCATATTTAACAACATTATATTGAGCCTTAATGATCTTGAATTAAATCATACTGATTAAAAGCCTCGTAATAGTAAGCCAAAAATAGTTGACAACTCACCATCACAAAAAAGTTCCCAAGCCCGCCGGGGATCGATCGACGTTTTAGTCGACTGTTTGAATCAACTTCCTAATCCAATATCCAATGTCTTTGTTATCATTTAGTATAAACTGAATGATTTCCTCAAACCTAAATCTTTATAGCATTGACATTTCTGAGTGACTATGTTAGCAGTCTATTGATGAAACTGAATTTAGTATTCCACGGATACGATTCCGTAAGGCCTTGAGTTAAAGTTTCAGATTTGCTCATTGAACACAGAAAGTCTATGTTACTCCTTTTCTAGCAAGCTTCTGAGGGTATTTAATTTTCTCTTGACCGAGTTAATTAAAGATCCTAACATCAAGTGTTCAGGGATTAGGTTCTAACAATCGGTAACTCGTTTTGTAAACCTACATGCCATTGGTATTTTGTTAGTTTCGGGTTTCTGTTATTTTGCGGTAAACAACGAAGTTCAAAAATTGCACGAGTAGCTATCTTCTATACTTTATCCATGGTATTACAGTAACCTTTGAAACAGTATCTCTCAGTCTGAACACAGTTTTCATGTTCGGATCTCACTAACGTTTTTTATATTGTAGCGAACACACTAATTTGGTAAATGTCCATCCCTAAGCCCACGTTGTTCCACAACCCTTGGCTGCGACCTCACAGTAACACATTATGGTCATAAGATTACGGCTCACCAATAATACAAGATCATTGTCATACGTGACTACGGACTCTGACTCTTCCCTTATAGTTCATCTATCTACCTGTGTATTCTCAACGTGCATGTAGACACACTTGGACACACTGATAGGCACCAGCCATTTATCAGATCAGCTAATCAAAACATCTAAATCCACTGTAATTGCTCTTGCATCTGCGTCTCTTGTTATTTTTTGTCAGATTTTTATATCATCAAAGTAAAGTAGCACCTGGGACTATACTATACTGGTGAACTCACTTACATACAGTATAGATAGTTAAGGACCGAGGACAGAACCTTGTAGCACCCCATCAAGCAATGGATTCCAGTTGGAGCATTTGAAATTCGCCATTACCTTTGTCTATGACCTAAGAAAAAATCCTTGGTCCACTTTGAGAGAGATCCGACATCTACCAGTTTCTTCAGTTTTAACGGTAGTTCATTTTCGGCACATTATCAAACGCATTGATGAAGTATTTGTAGGCAGCATCTACTGATATTCCATCATCTAGCAACACTGACCGCTTCCGTTTTGATATGAGGAGGTTTGTTGCGCAGGACAACTCCTTCCTGAAGCACTGTTTTTTGCTGTGTTAACAAGCTATTGATTTCCACGAACGTTATCATGGCCTCCTTAATTATTGTTTCATGTATTGTAACAATGACACTGTTGAGGCTGACAGGTCTGTAGTATAATGGAGGTTGTCTTGATCCTGTTTTATGTATTGAAGTCAAAATTGCATTCTATCAGTTCGCAGGTGATTTACATTGACCATGTGACTGTTGGATCATGGTCTACTTCGTTATCAGTACTACTTCAATAATAGACTTAATACTAAGATTGTAAATTTGTCATGATGTAGCTGCCTAATGTATGAGATCTTACGTGGAGGTTGTAGTGGCATTGGGTTCTTACTACACAATCCTCAACACGAGACAATATAGGAAACAGATATTCAACATAACCCAACGATGGAGAAGGCGGGAAAAATGGATAGAGTGAATTCGAATTGATCGAATGGCATGGCTTGGCTTTGCAGGCATGGCTATCATTGAATGTTATTAAATACCTTTTATTCATATTAAATATATCGTTCTATCTCTAGCCTAAGTGTGTTGTCCATCACATATTGATGATTGTGGTGGTGTAGATAATAGCGTGACTTCCACGTAAGATCTAATAGATTAGGCAGTTATATCATGAAAAATGTACAGTTTTTGGATTAGGTCTATTATTAGAGCAGTACT